GGGCGGGGGGGGCGCAGGACTCACTATCTCTGGATGCGGGAGACGACGGTGCTGAAGGCGGCCTGCACGTCGGCCGCCGAGCAGGTGCCCACCACGGGCAGCGCGTGCCGCTGCAGCACGTCGGACAGGAACTGTGGGGGGGGGGGTGCACCATGAGCAGCTGCCCCGGGGCCCCGCCCCACCTGCGGGAGGCTGCGCACCTGCCCCTGCCAGTCCGAGGTGTTGACCAGGATGATGTTCTCGGGGAGCTGCTCGTCGGAGACCAGGATGTGGTTCAGCTGGTCGTACACAGTCTTCCGGGGGATCTGCAGACACGGGCTGTCCGTGGGGCCGCCGCCTGCCTGGTCGGGGCCCAGGACCCCACCCTCGTCCAGCAGGCCCCAGGCCAGGCCGGCTGCACCCTCACCTGCAGTGGGCTCCGCGGGTCCGGGCAGCGCTCGCTGTCCAGGCTGTTGGCCCGCTCGTTCTGCGGCCGAGCCGGCTGCCGCTCCTTCAGGGAGGTGCTGCGGCCCCGGCGGCCGGCCGGCTTCCCCTCGGCCCTGGGCAGGACTCCGTCAGAGACCGAGGCGCCACCTCGGCCAGCCAGGCTCGCTGGGCCCCCAAGCCACCGGCCTGGGGCTGGGCTCCGCGCAGAGACCCCCAGCCGCTCACAGCCCGGCCTGATTGCACCCCCTCACCTGCTGGAGGGTAGGACCAGCGACTCGGTCTTCGTGACGCGCCCGCTGGGCGGCAGCCGCTCGGAGAATACGTCCAGGGGACAGCTGTCCACCCCGGGGCTGTCCTCGGGCTGCGCCGGCTGCTCCCCGGGGGCCGGGGGGGCGCTCTGTGGGACAGGGCAGCCATGGCATGTGCGCCCACTGCCCCACGCCTGCCATGCACGGAGCCTGCCACCCCGGGGCCCGTTCCCGTCCTCTCCAGGGCCCGCCTGGGAAGCCTCCAGGGCAGCTGAAGGGTGCACTACTGGGGGGCCCCAGATCTGTGCCCAGGAGCCCCAGTGTGTACTTACGTGAGCCACAGAGTCGGAGGTGCTGTCGCTTGGGGGCCGGCTCCCGGGGGCCCGCGTCCTCTCTGGCACGTCAGCCTGCGGGGCGAGGCAGGGCGGGCGGGTAAGGCTGGCGCCTCTGGGCAGAGGCTCGCAGTGGGACGGCAGGCAGCGGGGCTCACCGGGCTCGGGGGCGCCCTCTGGCTGCGGGTGCTGTGGAGACTCCCCACCTCTGTCTGTGAGCTGGAGTGTGAGAGGCCCTCGAAGTACGGCCTGCGGGGGGTGGGGGGTGCACATCAGACCCCGCCTGGGGCAGGGAGCCAGGCACAGTCCCCTGGCAAGGCACAGGGGGGCTGTCCCAGGGAGGCCGCAGTCGGCAGAGCGAGGTGTGGGGTGGCCGAGGGCCACAGACCTGGGGTCCAAGCAGAGGATGGGGGGCCTGGGCGGGCGGCCGAGGGCGGACCCGTCACCACAGGGCCAAGGGAGGGGCCAGGGCCGCAGTGCCAGCCGCCGCAGGGCCACAGCCTGGGGACACCGGCTGACCTACTGACCCTGCTGGCGCAAGCCCACCTGAGCTTCGGCTTTGGGGTGCTGAGGACGCTGTCGTCGTCCTCCATGTCGGGGCCGCTGTCGCTGGGGTCCGCGTCCAGCGCATCGTACAGGAGGTCCAGGTCCTCCTCCACCTCAGGGACACGCTCCGCGGGGTCCTGCTCCGAGTCCAGCACCTGGCCGAGGGCAGGCCATGGGGTGCCAACGAGCCGCAGGGCTGTCCACCCACCTGGCCCAGGCGGCCCCGGACGCAGGCCCAGGGAGAACACTGCACCCAGCACCCGCCCACCCGCCAAGGCCACCCAGCTGACCACTGCCCGCGTGCCAGCCTGCCACGGGCGGCAGGCCAGGCCGTCCTGCGGCGCCCCCGAGGGTCTGCGTGGCAGCCGGTGGTGGGCCACCGGAGGAGGGGCCCAGCCCTGGACGGTCCTGCAGGCCCCAGGCTGTCCTTGGAGAGCCCGCCCCGATCTGGGAGTGCCCAGCAGCCTGGGGCCCGCACACCGCACCCGCCCTCGGCCCCACCTGGGAGCCGCTATGGGAGGCCACGGAAGGGGCAGACCCTGAGGTCCCACCGAGAGGCGGGGGCTGTCCTGGCTGCAGCTCACGCGCAGGCCGGCAGGCGGGGCTGTTCGGGTCACCTCTTGCCTCCACGTCCCTCACCCAGGGCACCCAACCAGCGGTGGGTGAGGTGTGGCCATGGGCAGCGAGGCCGAGGCCCAGCCCGCCCGCCCGCCCGCCCGCCCGCCAGGCCTCACCTCGTCGGACACCTTGAACCTCCGCAGCAGAGCCACCACCTTCTGCTTGAAGTTCTGCTGCTGCAACACAGGCGAGCGAGTGGGCCCCAGCGCCTGGCCCCCGCGCCCCCGCCCCGCCCCAGGTACAGCCTGCAGAAGCCCCCGCCCTGGGCGGGGCAGCCTGGCTCCAGACACAGAGCAAGGTGGGGCCCTGCTCCCCGCTGTGGGAAGGGGCACTGGGACTGTAGCCCACTGTGCCCCAGAGGGCACGTGGGTGGAGACCTGTGGCAGTGGACACTGGGATGGACACAGCTGACAGGCCCTCCCGGCCCCAGGGACCCCGGGCCGGTAGACTGCACAGAAGCGGGCCCACCCGGGCAGCCGCCCCATGTGCCCACGGCCTGGACTGGCAGCCCTGGAGGCCAGCGAACCCCGGTCTGGGAGGCCACTGCTGAGGCCATTGCCCTGGGAGGCCAGATAACGCAGGGCCATGGCATCTGGGGAAGACAGAGTCCAGTGCAGCCGCCAGGCCCTGGGCCGGCGTCCAGCCCCGCGTCCAGCCCCTTGGCGTCCCGCCCCAGCCCCAGGGTTAGTAAAACCAGCTGCACCAACCCTGGTCATGGACGCCGTTCTTACTATCGAGCGCCGCTGCTTCCCGGGCTTCCCCACGTCAAAGTCGTCCTCATCCAGGTCCTGCAGGGGCACGCGCCTGAGGCCACGAGCCCGCCTCCCCCGCTGGCCACGGCCCCCCGCCCCCGCCAGCCTCAGCCCTCCGCGGCCGCTCTGGAGCGCTGTCCTGGTGCCCAGGGAGCCCGCTGACGCACCACGGGGCCCCGGGGCCTCTGGCGCCCTCGCCCCGCCCCCGGGGCAGCTACCTGGCCCTGCGCGGCGTCGTCGCTGGCGTCCTGCTCGGAGGAGAAGCTCTCGTCCTCCTCCTCGGAGTCGTTGTCTGCGGGGGGGGCACGGAAGGGGCAGACCCCGAGGTTCCGCCGGTGTCCTGGTGACAGGCCCGCCTGCCGGGGCCCCCACGCCCCCACCCCCACGCAGGCGCCACCTGTGGACTTGGCCTTGGGGCCGGCCTGCATGGCACTGTCCTCGTGGTCGATGGGCTGGCTCGACAGGGAGAAGATCCAGATCTCGGCCACCCGCACGGCGGCCTCCTTCACGTCGCTGCACAAGCCCAGCACCTGGCCGCCCTCAGGGGGGTGCTGTAGCACCTGGGGACAGGGCGGCTCTGGGGGCGCTGAGCACCTCGCCAGGCCCACCCCTGCCCCGCCTCCCGAGCGGGCGCCCCAGGACAGCACGCAGGCCACGGCTGAGGGGCCAGCAGCAGCCCCAGTGGGTGGGCAGTTAGCCGCTGGCCGTCAAACCTGCTGCCCAGCCCCAAGCTGGCCGGCACCTGGCCAGGCCTGTCCCAAGAGTGAGAAGCTGGTCACCCCCACCCAGGGCCCCGTCCAGGCGTCGGCTCCTCAGAAAGGGGTGCCCGCCACCACCCTGGCAGCTGCTCGGAAGGGCCGGCGGGCAGCAGTGGGCCAGCATGGGGGCCGCCGCCCAGGGCTCACGCCTGCACGGCCGATCCGGCGAGGGGCGGGGCCCTCCCCCTTCGGGGGGCCCGGCCTTCCCGCAGGGCAGCTGAGGCCGGCTCCGCCCGGTGCTCACCTCGGCCATGTCGATGGAGCCGGCGGCCAGCGTCTTGTAGCCCAGGATGGTGCGGTGCTTGTAGCGCTTCCTGCGCTGCAGCATGACCTGCAGCCGGTTGCCCTCCCTCTTCAGGAAGTGGGGGTACTGCGGGCAGGAGACGGTCGGTCCGGGCCGCTCCGGGAGCCTGCCGCCCTCAGCGGCCCTGCTCGGGGCCGCATGCAGAGACCAGCAGAGGACCGAGGCCTCCGGGCATGCAGGCAGGAGGGGCCGCGGGACTCCAAAGCCCAGGGCTGGGGGCAGACCTGGGGCAGGCAGGGCTGGGGAGGCCCACCTGCAGCGAGAAGGTCAGGGCCAGGTCTGTCTCCACGTGTCCACTGGGGGGCAGCACGATCTCATGGGACCGCAGGACGCGCTTGGAGCCCTGGGGGAGGGGACAGGCAGGTGGGGTGCAGAGCGGATGGGTGGAGGGGGCTAGAGTGAGGGGAGCCAGGCGCGAGGGGGGGCTGGGCAGGGGCGGGCAGCACAGGGGCCGCTCTGGCTGGGACCAGGCCGTGCAGCGGGTGCTGTAGGGCAAGGCCTGCAAAGTGTGACCGGCCTGGGGGAACTGGCCACACGGCAGCCTGGAGGCTGCAGCGGCCACACAGCAGACTGGGCCCTCCCCTCCCCCGACCCACGAGGCCACAGGGGGCTGGCAGGAGGGGAGGCCCAAGAGTGACCACAGCATGCGTGCCTGCTCCGGGCCTCCGGGGCGCTGGGCACTCCTGCCCCACGGCGACAGGCCTGCACCCTCAGGGCCAGCCCGCCCCAGCGTGGGGGCAGGGCCCACTCCCCCTCCCGGCCGCCAGGAGGGGGTCCAGGGACGCTGACCTGCATCTTGACCGCAATCACCACGGAGATGAGCTCCTTCTCCAGCCCCTTGAAGACCACTAGCTTCTTCAGTGTCAGGCTGCACAGCCTGCGGGCGGGGGCAGCTTAGCAGGGCCGGGGCCCCCAGGGGCCAGCCAGCCCGCCACCCACCCCAGGGCCTTCCCAAGGTGGCAGCTGGGCAGGAGGCCCCGCCCGCACCCCACTCTGCTTGGAAACTGGGTGCGAGGCACATGCAGCCCCGTGAGGGCTCGCGGCTGAGGACACGGCGCCGCGCACACTGTCATGGCCAGTGCCCAGGCCCCACCGCTCACACAAGAGGCCGGGCCTCCCCCACCCTGCCTGGTGTGCCCCAGAGTGCAGCACGTCTGCGCCCAGCAGCTGCCCCTGGGGGTGCAGTGGCCGCCGCAGCCCCGCCCGTCCCACAGGCCCGCTCCCCTCCAGAGTCAGAGCCCCACGGCCCTCGAGCAGCGAGGGGGCCCCACAGGCCAGGCGACCTGACCGCCCCACGGGGGCACTGGCCTCCATGCCATAGCCTCAGGGAGCCGCACCCAGGCGGAGGAGGTCAGACCCACCCCAGGAAAGTAAAGATGGGGTCTCAGTCCCTGACGTGAACCCCAAGTGGAAGACACCCTGGCCCGCGCCGGCCGGTGTGCCCCTGGCCGCAGCCCTCCGCCCTCCCGGGGCCAGTGCCCCACAGAGCCCCGCGGGGCAGACACGCACAGGGCCCGCCGGCTGCGCGGACGAGCGTGGCGTCAGGCCAGGGCGGCGCAGCTGGGGTCCCTCCAGGCAGAAACGCCTCCACCCGGGGGTGGCCACAGGCCAGGGTGCAGCGGAGGGGAGGCGGCCGACAAAGGGCCAGTGTCCGCACACCAAGGGACAAAGGGGCCCAGACGCACAGCCGGGCAAGCAGGGGGGCAGCGTGGGCAGAGCGCGTGACCCTGGCCGCAGGCCCCACCGTCCAGCACACCCCACACCAGGGCAGCGCATGCATCCTGCCCCCAGGGTCACGGCAGCCACGCGGGACCTGTGGGGTGGCCCCTCATGGCTCCCGTCTGGGTCCCGGTGGGCACTGTCAGTGGGGCCAGGGCCATCACTGCACAACACTGCCCAGGAGCCCGCTGCCAGCTGACTGCAGCCCGCCGTCACCCGTGCCTAGGCAGGACCTTTCCCGCAGATGGCCGTGCTGGAGCCTGGCTCTCAGGCCAGAGACCGCGGCGGGGCGGGGGGTGGGGGGCAGCGCAGGAGGCCAGCCGGGGCAGCGCCCTGCTGTGGGCACCAGCCAAGCCCCTTGGGGTGTGTAGCCAACAGCCCTGCTCTGGGCAAACCGGCCCAGGGCCAGGCTGGTGCTCTGGGTGCCTGGGGGCACCCACGTCTGAGCAGGCGAGGAACCCAGGCCCCTGGGCGTCCAGCAGGCCATGGCCCCTGGACAGGGGATGGACCCCGACCACAGGCAGGCCAGATTTCTCCATGGCCTCCCTCACTCCCAGCACCCAGGCCAAGCCTGCGCCCGACCCACTCACCCCGCTCCTCCTGGGCAGGCCGCAGGGGCCGGCAGCAGCACCCCCGACACGGAGCGGGACAGGCTTCCTCTGCCCACAGCACGACACCAACACGTGAGGGACTCCAACATACAGAGAATACCCCAGCACAAGGGAACTCCCACAGGGGATACCCCAACACGTGGGACACCCCAATGGGACACGCCAACCAAGGAGAACACTCCTGCACACAGGAACACCTAGCCTGAGCAACCCCAACGAGGGGGCAACCCAGTATGTGGGGGGTCACCCTAGTGCATGGATGCACCCCAGCACAGGGGACCTCCGACATGGAAGGACACCCCGGCACGGAAAGGACATCCCAGCGTGGGGGCCGGCGCCTGAGGCCAGGAGCGTGTGTCCGCCCAGCAGGGGCAGTGCAGGCAGTGCAGGAGACCGGCCAGCATCCAGGGCCCGAGGGCACAGCTGCCGGAGGCCAGGAAGGAGCCATAGCCATGCCCACTCAGGCAAAGCAGGCTGGGCAGCAGGGAGCCAGTGACCCCAAGAGCTGCCAGGGAGCCCCAGCCATGGCCCTCCCCACCTCCAGGGCCAGGCCCAAAGTGGGGTGCAGCCCCCACACCACAGGGACCCAGCCACCAGCAGAGAGCCAGGCTGGCCCACAGACCCGGGGTGCCCTGACCACAGCTCCGGGAACCTGGAGGAGGCACGGTCCGGGCGGGGGGCTTCCCACAGGCCAGCAAGCTCCCCTCCACCCCACGACAGCCATCGCAGCTCAGGCCATGAGGGGAAGGCGAGGGGTGGCCCCAGGTGAGGAGCCCTCAGAGCAGACCCCAGAGTGTCCTGGGGCCGAGGCGGGCAAGGCCTCCTTGGCCGGCTCCACACAGGCCCTCTTGCTCCTTACCCCTCTGCAGGGGGACCGGGGCCTGCCAGGTGTCTACTGCCTAAAGCTGGCGGGTAGCGGGGGGAAGGGCACCCCAGGTGCAAGCTCTAAACAGAACCTGCAGGGATGGTGGTCCCTCAGGGACACTGGCTACCCAGGAAGGCTGGGCTTACCGACAGCAAGAGCACATCTCCCCTGCCCTGGCCTGCAGGCCCCAACCGCTCTGGACACAGCCGCCACACTGAGCCACTGACTGCCCCACACGGGGGTTCAGACCTCACGTGCCACTGGGGCCAGAGGCCCACAGCACTGGGCACCCAGGAGCGGGACAGAGCTGACCCGAGCAGTGTGTCCACCTCAGGACACTCAGGCTGCAGACCTCACCGCCCGAGTGACTGAGACCTCCCAATTTGGGGGATCAGTGACCAGCCCTGCGGGGGTGGGGGGATAAAGCTGAGCTCTGGCATGCGGAGGCCCCACCTGCACAGGCGGGTGTACAGCAGGCACAGCGCGCCAAGGAGCACCCAGGCCAAGGGCAGGTGGACGGCCAGGTGGACCACCACGTGGCAGACGC